TTTTGGGGAGAGAAACTTGGAAGGAAGGATGTTGTTAGAGTTTTGTGATGAAATGGAGTTGTGTGTAGCAAATACATGGTTTAAGAAGGAGGACAAAAGGAAGGTGACGTTCAGCTCTGGAGGAAATGAGACAGAGATTGATTTTGTGCTAGTGGACAAGGAGAAGAGAAAATTTCTGAAGGATATAAAGGTGTTTCCAGGGGAATTACAACACAGGTTGGTGGCTGTGGATGCGGACAAGAGGAAGGTGAAAAAAATAGTAAGGAAAGTAGCATTGGTGAGGAGGAATGTGTGGAAATTGAAAGAAGAAGATACCAGAAAGAATTTTGAAGCGAGAGTTGGGGAGCTTGTGGAGACTGATGCATCAGATTTGTGGGGGTGCTTTAAAGAAAGGGTGTTGCAGACATGTGATGAAGTTTGTGGGAAGAAGAAAGGTAGGAGGGGTAGAGGAGACACAGGTTGGTGGAATGAAGAGGTGAAGGAAGCAATAGCAAGAAAGAAAGATGCATACAAGAAAATGCGAAAAAGTGGTACTGAAGAGAATAAGGTTAGGTATAAGAGATTGACAAGGTAAGTGTGGGTGGTGGGTGTGAGGCGGCTGTGACAGCTAGAGCAAGGTTTGCTTGGGTGAAGTTTAGGGAATGTGGAGAGCTACTATATGGAAAGAGATTTCCCTTGGAGATGAAAGGAATAGTTTATAAGAGTTGTGTAAGATCAGCATTGCTGTATGGGAGCGAGACATGGTGTTTGAGTGAAAATGAGCTGGGTATTTTAAGGAGGACGGAGAGAGCGATGGTGAGAGTGATGTGTGGGGTGAAGTTGATGGACAGAAAGTTAACTGAGGACTTGATGCAGATGTTGGGTTTGAAGGAAGCGGTAGATCGGTTGGCGAAGGCAAATGGGGTACGTTGGTATGGGCATGTGCTGAGGAGGGAGGATGGGCATGTATTAAGAAGGGCCTTTGATGTAGAGGTGAGTGGTCCAAGGAAAAGGGGAAGGCCAAAGAAGACGTGGAAGATGCAAGTGGAGGAGGAGAGTGGGAAGGTTGGGATGAGGATGAGGGATGCTTTAAATCGTGCAAAGTGGAGGGAGGGGGTAAGAGCGATTGCCACTAGTTTAAGGTGAATCCGGCCACCCTCGTCTTCGGGGACCAAAATGGATTTAAAACTCTGGACTACTACTACTACATATATGGATATTGGGTGCTCTGTTATTAGAAGATATCATTGGAAGATGGAATACACCATTACCACATAATGATATGGGGTGCACTGTTATTAGAAGATGTCATTGGAAGTTAGAATACACCATTACCACATATAGATATGGGGTGCTCTGTTATTAGAAGATGTCATTGGAAGTTAGAATACACCATTACCACATACTGATATGGGGTGCTCTGTTCGTA